TTAAAAATTACAAATTACATAACTGAGCGAATGACACTTAATGACAGTTGTCAGAAACATGCATAAAAAAAATTCATGATGATGACAGTTGTCAGAAACATGCATAAAAAAACCTTCATATTCATGATGTGTCATGTCATGATTATGTAGGTGTCATGTCAGTCTTATGCACACCCCTTCAAGTAAAGTGTAACCGATTTTTGCATCGTGTTTTGACCCAGTAGACAAAATCAGTGTACAGTAAACTATGCCAACTTGGCATTAAATTGAATTGTAAACAAAAACAAAATAAAGCAAATGACAAGCAGTCTCTTACACTGTTAAAAGTAAAAAAGTATATATTTTAATGATTTTACAGTCACCACATCCGTAAAACCTGTAGTATTTTGGATACTACAGTTGCCATTGGACCTGTATTACTAGTAATTTTATATTATTATTAATCATGTATATGTAGTTATGATTAAATAGGTATTATCACACCTGTACTGACTCGCCTGTGGCTCACTGACCCGAACTGTCAAAACTAGGTGAAAGTTCATTCATGCAGGTCACCTCGTTCAAACTCTCTAATCTCACTCAAAGGCGGATATACATTTACAGTATAAAATGTATATGTATACTAAGAACATATTTATGAATAAGTTTGTACCTGCGATAGTTTTTAAAGCTGTGCAGCAGCGCCGCGTCAACAGGACTCTCGCGCTCGACATCCTTCTCAAAACTTCACCGCACTTGCAGGCGCGAGCTCGGGCAGCCAACTTAGCGCCTTTAAATAAAACCATCTCATCTCACTTTTAGTGTATATAATAAACTTGCATATCTTTTTATATATGTATGTATGTGTATTAACGTTAACACAATGTCACTTTTTAATATATAAAGTAAGCGTTTTTTCCGCTCAGGCAGTGACTCGGGTTGCCAGGGGCGCGGGGTCCTGCGGCTCGTGCACTGCTGTAGTCATTAGACAGACGCGAGACATCAAACATCACACTCTCAACATTCACATCAATAACAGGTACAAATATTATTTATGCGTTTATTTTAGAGCACACATTGTGTTTATAGGATGAATTCTGATGAATATCCTAAACAGTGTTATTCGACATGCGGAAGAATGAACCCGTCTGCTCGTTCTAGTGTGTTAAAGTGATATTTTGATGTCTCATATCATGATCGGTGTTGTTTTATAATGATGTCATGATCGCAAGTTGCTGCTTAAATGTTTATAATGCCTTTATATATTTGTCCTTGTCCGGTTTACTGGCAGAAGTAGGTGAAGGGTCATACACACACACACACACACACACACACACACACACACACACACACACACACACACAGTC